CAGCACCTCCACACAGCCCGGCCGGACTCCAGCGCTGCGCGCTGCCGCCGGTGCCCGCATCCCGCACCCCGCACCCTGAGCCCGCCAGCCGGCCAGCGGCGCCACCAACCGCAACATGCCACAGGTGGGTGCAGCCTCGCGCCTGCCCCACGCGGTGTCGGCCCGGGACTGGAGCCGCGGGCTGGAAAGGCGAGAGGAAGAAAAGCCAGGTCCGGGGATGGGAAGGACCGTCTTCAACCTGAGCTCCCTCTGGCCTCAGCGCAAGGCTTCGGCATCCCAGTGCACTTCAAAGCTGGTGGGAGAAAGAAGCCCGTCTGGACGTGGGGCAAGAGACCCCAGAGGCCCCAGGCCGGTTCCACAGCCCCCGCGGGCTCCCATTCACAGGATGGGGCTGGGCCAGGCGACCCGGATAAGCTGTGGTCTAAAAAGCTGGCCTGCTAGTGGGCCAGCCCTGCTCTGCACTGCCCAGAGCTGAGGGTCCTAAAGTTGGCGGACACCCCCCTTCTCCACTGGTACTACCTGTGGAAACAAGGTCCTAGGGAAAACCTGAGGGTCCTCCGAGGCATCTGACTCAAGTTGGAAAAGGTATGAGGGGGATTTTGAAAAGTTCATGGAAAATGGGATTCAAGTCTGAGTTTATTTTAGTGCAAATCCAAAACTACGAAACCCACGTATAGTTTTTCAGAATATGCTTTTTTCCACGAGCTTTTTGAAGACCCCTTGTAGCTTCCCTCCTGCCCCACCCCAGAGAGGAGTCACGTCAGGGGGAGTTGGCTCGCCCATGCCCACCCTGGCTTCCTTCTAGAGAAGAGAGGAAAGGAAAAGAGAGCCTCCCCTGTCCTCTGCTCCTTGTCCTCTCAGAAGAGGGAATGGAGGGGATGGTGGCTCCTTTCCTCTATGTTGGTGCTGCCCATTGGGAGGCCCTCAGCCCCTCTTCTTCTTCTTCTTTTTTTTTTTTTAGAGGTTTTTGTTGTAGGGTACATGGGCTCCCCAGAAAGACAGACAGAGACAGAGAGACAGAAAGCGAGAAATCATCCCGCAGGGGGGATGGCCACGCCGCAATCCCTTCTCCTCCATTTTCCTCTCCGGATCATAGGCATGCACGCACAAGCACCGGCCGTGAATTTAAGCCACCGGGGTCCGGTTCTCAAACCACGGTTGACTACATGGGAGTCCAGCGACATAGCCATTACACCAACTGCTGGGCTCAGCCCTCAGCACATCTTCAGAAAACCCTTCTTGCACCAATATCCCATCCCTGCTTTTCTTTCAGAAAACACCAAAAATTTACTCCGTGGAGCTCAGTGGAACCAAAGACATGGAGAAAGACGACAAAGGAGATGGCCAAGAGAGGTACAGGGACCTGAAGGACGACTGTGTGGAATTCAAAAAGAGTCATCAGAAAGAGAGTCATCAGAAGAAGGACCTTACGAAAGAACTGGACCTGGTCAGTAGCTTCAAGCCAAGGGGGTGTCGCTGACTACTGCCTCTCTCCTTTGAACTTGCCCCTATAATCTACCTTTTGCAAAAGAAAAATCAGTCTCAAGGACTTGAAATCCCCTTTTAAATTTGTTTCCTTGTTTTAAGAAAAAGGTGAGATACTATCTACCCAGGGATCAGGTCTTTGTAGGATTCCTGAGTTCTGGTTGGAGGCAGTCCAGGGTAGAATTCTGAGGAAAGCGCTCTGATTCCAAGTCCCGGAGGCGTGGCCCAGACCTGTCTCCCTCCCGCCTGCTTCAGTGAGGTCTAAATAACCATTTGCCAGTGTTTAGTTGACTAGGAAAACTACTTGAGCTGGGACTTCCGGGGACCAGATCCAAAGCTACTAGGTCTTGTGAGGTTTCAGTTGTGTATTCTCCACGAGAGAAACATAGTTTCAGTGGGCAAGAATGTTGGACTTGGGAAGACCTTAGGCTCCATCAAAGTTCACTTCTCCACTGACAGCTGTCACTGAGAGCTAATGCCCCAGCTTCACCGAAGTTCCATTGTCTCTATGTAAAATGGAAAATAATCTGCAGGGGGTTTTGAAGGGAAAAAGGAAGTAAGAGTGTGTTGTAAGTTAAAGTGCTCCATGGATGTGCAATATTACAACGAAGGAAGAACTTTAAAGTTGGTTTCTTTAATTAAGAGCTGCCTTCTGAAATGTGATAGATTTTATCTGAGGAATGAAATTCCACATGGGAAATTTCTCTCTGTAGCCTGAGGTTTCACTAGATTGTATGTACCTTGATACATTGCAGACTTTTCTTTCTTTTTTTATTTTTCTTTTTGAGAGGTTTTTGCTATAGTTGGCATGCGCTCTCTAGAAAGACAGAGATACAGAAAGCGAGAAATCACTCCGCACCCCCCCACGGCCCCCTGCACCACCCCTGCCCCCCACTTCATCCTACCCCACCTCACCCCACCCTCCTCCAACATGCCTCCGGAAAGTCTGAGGTCCTTCAGTGCTCAGAAGGGCCCTAGTTATCCGTTACTTGTATCTGAACAGAATTTAATATGCATGTGGTACTCTGGGCAGAACTCTGCCTTATTCTTGAGTCTCAGCAATTTTATGTTCAATACATTTAATTGATATTGGTAGAATTAATGAATGAGCAGTCTAAGAAGCAAAATAATAATAATGCATAATCGTTTTCTTTTTCTTCTTTTTTTTCAGTTTTGCTACAGGGCACATGTGAGAGAGAGAGAGAGGGAGAAAGAAAGGAAGGAGGGAAGGAAGGAAGGAAGGAAGGGAGGAAGGAAGGGAGGGAGGGAGGGAGGAAGGAAAAGAAAAAGGAAGAAAGAAATCACTCCCAAGGGGGATGGCCACACCACAGTCCCTTCTCTGTTCTCCTCTCGGGATCTTGGACATGCATGCACATGCACCCAGCATGATTTCTAAGCCACTGGGTCTGAATCTCGAACTACTCAGTTGGTCCCGTGAGTTCCAGCACCTTAACATCCATGGCACCTGCTGGCTCAATAATATATTATCTTTTATTGAAATATCCTTAATTGAAAGACTTTAAAAAATTTTTTTTTGGTCTTTGTTTCAGATAATCAGGGCTTATAGAGTTCTGAGTAATGGGTTTTCTAGGTGTGGGATGGGAGGGTGAGGAAAACTTAAAACTTAGCTGCAGGGTTTTTTCACCTCAAGAAAGTGATGTGGTGATTGAGGTGCTGGAGACTCACATGGCCAAATGTAGTTCGAGTCCCAGACCCAGAGGCTTGAAACTCACACCAGGTGCTTCTGCATGCGTGCCCAAAACCCCAAGAGGAGAAGGGATTATGGTGCGGCCATTCCTCCCCCCCCAGGGGGGATTTCTCACTTTCTCTCGCTCTCTCTCTGGTGAGCACACATAACCTATAGCAAAAATCTTTCTCTCAAAAAAAAATGATAAAAGAAAAAGAAAAGAAAAGAAGCTTCTATTCCTTTAGCTCAGTGATTATCAAAAAAGAGGAGAAGGATTCCCCCACCTCCCCACCAGGGAACATTAGCAATGTCTGGAGACATTTTTGGTTATCACAAGCCAGGAGACATGCTAGTGGTTGGCACTGAGGGAGGAAGCCCCAAAACGAAGAATCATTGACCCAAAATATCAGTCGTGCTAAGACTGAGAAATCCTGCTTTAGTTTAATCATTCTGTGGCAAAACTAGTAAGTATGGACCACACTGGTTTTTGTTATTTTGGCAGATTTTTAATCTGCAGGGCTCCTCTAACCACTGAGCTCCCTGAGGTTATGACTCGAATAAGGAAAGGCATTCTTCTTTCTGCTGGAGACCCCACCACCACCCCCAGCAAGGGATGAGGTGTCCAGACATAGGAAGTGGGTCTGATTTGGTTTTGCTTATCATTCTCAGCCAGTCTCAGAATTCAGTCTGGACTAAGTACCCACCACCCTAGTTACCTGGAAGACGAGTTTGCTAGAATTTATGTGTGCTGGAAACTGAGGTGATGTGCGTCACTTCATGCATGAAAACTAAGGCCAGCTTCTGGGGGTAAACAATGAGTGAACCCCCAACTCTTCAGGGGAGGGTGGTGACTTGGAAGGACAAGCTGTCTGGCAGCCATGTCAGCCCTTGCTGCACAAGCCACCTGGCACAAGTGATTCTTTCTCTCCACTAACCACCACCTCCCCCCCACCCCAACCCCACCACCTGCCCCTGTCATCCTCAGTGCTATTCCCAAGTTTCACGGGCTGGTCGAAGCTGGGGCTTTGAGTCTTTTGGAATAATCTAATTCACTCTTTTCTTCTCCCTTTCATGGACTTCAGGATGACCACAAACTCAGCATCAAGGAATTGGAAAAGAAACATGTTACAAGCATCATTACGGTAAGCCATCAGGGAACTGGGGATTAGTAGCCTCTTGACCATATGAACAGGAAGGCTACGTGCTTGGTGTGTGGAGAAGTAGAGGGGCCCCTTTAGGATGAGATGACAGTCATCAACCCTCTGGATCCTGGGAGAAGCCTGGTTGACTTCCAGGGCTGAACAAAAGCCTGGCCGAGCTCCCTCACTGCGCTGCTCTTAGTCCTAAACAGATCTTTCGAATGTAATTGCAGGAGAGCTGTGGTGTCTACAGAGAGGTTCAGATGATTCCGTGAGGTCATGACCAGAGGTTGCTTTTAAGCTCCATCTCCAAGAAGTATAATGATGTGCAGAGACCTTCTTATCAGGCCAGGGTTAGAAAGGAAAGATCCAGGGGACCAGCAAATGGTATAATGGCTATGTTGCTGGATTTCCACATAGTTGACCTTGGTTTGAGTCCCAGACCCGGCTACTTAAACTGGCACCAGGCATGTGTGCGTGCATAACCCAAATCCCAAGGAGACTGGAGGAGAAGGGACTGCAGTGTGGCCATCCCCCTGGGGGGTGATTTCTCCCTTTCTATCGCTCTGTCTTTTGGCGAGCACTTGCACCCTATAGCAAAAATTTCTCTTAAAAAAAGGAAAAAGAAAGAAAGTGAAGATCCGGAGTATCCACCTTGGAGTCCGCTGAGAAGGAGTAGGGCTGTAGGGCTCACTGCACATTCTTGGTCATCTCATACATTCTCCCGCCACAGAGGTCCTGCTGTGGTCTGTGAATCCCAATCCAAGTGAAATTTCAGAAATGTTTGTGCACTGGCATCAGGAGACCAGTCAATGCACATCTGTGCAAGTCAATAGAAGTACTTCTTATGTGGTTTGAACTGGACCGGCAGTGAGAGAGGCAAAAAGGGACAGCAGAGCCCCTAAAGCAGTTGGACAGGAAGGCGGATGTGTAGGGATGTATAATGCCCACTGTGTCCCTTCTGGGTGCCAATGAGAGGACAAAATGATATTCTGAGGGAGCGATGAGCTCTGCCCAGAGGGACCAGAGCAGGCTCCTAGGAGTTGCAGCGTTGGACTGAGGCTCTGGAGCATGATTAAGTGGGTGGAGTAGCAGGACCAGAAAGAACTGAGTGAGCTTGCTGGGAACTAGTATGTGTGAAAAGTGGGGCACTCATCTGTATTAAACTGTTGAGTGTTTTCATATTAAACTAAAGAATAGGGCTATATATTCTTTTTAGTTTATTTTTCTTCTATGAACAAGAGAGACAGGTACCCCCTCAGGGTGCTCACATTGTGATCCACCTCCAGCCTCAGTCAGACCCCAACTATGGGCACATGCTTATCATGTATGTTCAGGGAGGTCTCTGGACACAAATCTGGAACCTTCCCATGTGGTCCACCACATAGAGTATCATATTACCTTTGTCTGTCCCTTGGTCATATTGGTTGTATAAGAGGGCATAATTCTAAACAGGGATGTGGGGCTTGGTAAAATTGGTTTTTAAAGGCAGTCCTGATAAAATATACATCTCCTCTTGGGATCTTGGGCACATACACACACGCGCCCAGTGTGATTTTAAGCCACTGGTTCCGGGACTCAAACAACGGTCGGCCACATGGGAGTTCAGTGACGTAGCCTTTAAGCTAACTTCTGGGCCCCTCCACAAATTTTTTTAAGACAGGATCTGTGTGCTTGCAGGAGAAAAAGAGAGACAGAAAGTGAGAAATCACCCCCAGGGGAGATGGTCACACCACAATCCCCTTCACTTTCATTCTTCTCTTGGGTTTTGGGCATGCAATGCACACACACTCTGTGTGAGTTTCAAGTTGCCAGACCCCGAATTCAAACTGCAGTCAACCACATGGGAGTCCAGCACTTGCTTGTCCCAAGATTATACACACACATATATACATAGATAGATAGATAGATAGATAGATAGATAGATAGATAGATTACATATATACATATGTACTTTTTTTTAAAGTGGGAGATGGTAGAATCTAGAAGCATGGGACAATAAGCCAGTACTGTGGAATGAGGATCCAAAATGGCAGCCCAGTAAGATGGGAAGAAGGGATCCAAGTCAAGGGGTATTTCAGATAAATAAGCAATAGGACTTGCAGGGGTATTTGAATTAAACTCTCAGCCCATCATCCAGTTAGAGAAGCAGGAGGAAGAGACTTGGTGAGCTAGAAGACTGAGATGGGAAGAGGGTGGGGAGGGCTAGGGAGAGCAGGAGAGAGGAGGTGATGATGAATTCTATTTTGAATTGCACTACTTGAAACATCTCTGAAACATCCATGTGAAAATGTTCAACAGTTACTGAGATAGGTTGGTCTGACATTCTGGATAAGGAATTGCAAGTGGTGGGTGATGGTATCAGTTTGGTGATTTTGAATCTTTTTTTTTTTTTTTTTTTTTTTTTAAGGTTTTTAAATGTCTTTATTAATGAGAAATACATTGTCCATTCCTCTTTGCCTTCCTCCTTGTTTTCTGAACACCCCCAGGGTGGATGACCACATCGCAATCCCTTCTCCTCCATTCTCCTCTTGGGATCTTGGGCATGCACACACACATGCCCGGCGTGCGTTTAAGCCACAGGGTCCAGGACTAGAACGGCAGTCGGCTACACGGGAGTTCAGCGACACAGCCATTACACTAACTGCTGGTCCCGGTGATTCTGAATCTTTAACAAAGATTTTTTTTTTTAAGTTTATTTATTGGGAATATATTTTAATAAATTTTGCTTTGCTTTCTCAGGGTCTCTCCAGCAGCAGAGCTGCTGAGCTTCTGGCTCGGGATGGGCCCAACGCCCTCACCCCTCCTAAGCAGACACCAGAGATCATCAAGTTCCTCAAGCAGATGGTGGGGGGGTTCTCCATCCTCCTATGGGCAGGAGCCGTCCTGTGCTGGATTGCATATGGGATTCAGTATGCCAACGATAAGTCCGCAACCCTAGACAACGTAAGGCACTGGGTGTCTCCTCCTGGAGTTTGCTCAGCTAGTAGCAGAACAGAATCATAGAGAAAGGCCCCTAGCAGGCTACCACCTATCAATCATTTTGTGGGTGGGGAAATCAGCAATTTTCCTAGCTGTAAAGTGGAAATAACTGACTATCTGATGTCTCAGAGGCAGCATGACCATGAAGTAAGAGAGAAAGACATACAAAACACTTTGGGTCTCTAAAGGGAAACAAATCTCAGTCTGCATATATGTGAAGTATTTTGGGGCTCTCCCACCTCAAAGCTAGTTAGTCCCTTTCACATGGAGAGTATTGATGCCTGTAAACTGGGTACCAAAACCACGAAATGGAGCCAGGCAACATGAGACTAAGAGAAAGAGGCCACACAGCCGCATGCTGGATGGTTCCATGATGTGAGAGGTCCAGAACAGGCATACCCAGCTCGGCGGTGCTGGGGTTGAGGGTGGGAGGAGGGGTGACTGCAAAAGGTCACAAGGATCTTACTACGTGGTGGACATGCTTGAAAGCTGGATTGTGCTCATGCTGAAATTTGAATTTTGTAAATTTACTTCGTAAATGTCCTAAAAACCAGAGAGATGTATACTTAAAACAGGCAGGTTCCGTGGCCTGTGAATTACACCAGGACACAACTGCCAGTGACTGGTTGTCACATGTACCTGGCGCTTTCCTGGTGCCTGCTTCTCTGATGGACATTTCTTCTCCTCACCCAGGTGTACTTGGGTGCAGTGCTTGCCCTGGTCGTCGTTTTAACGGGGATGTTTGCTTATTACCAAGAGGCAAAGAGCACCAACATCATGGCCAGCTTCAGGAAGATGATTCCCCAGGTGAGTAGCAGCCACCCTTCCCTGGTCTCCACATGAATAGGGGTCATAAGGAGAAGCCCAGGGCCTTTTAGGCAGAGAGTCCTCGTTCAAGCCCTGGTCCCATCCTTCACGGTCTGAGAAACCTTGGGCAAGTGATAGGATCTCTCTAAACCCTAGACCTCACCAAGTTTTGAGATGATCAAACGTGGTACAATCCAGGGAAATGCTTAGTCGAGGATAAAGCAGGCCAGAACATCAGTCGTTGTCCAACATCCTCAGTACCTGGTCTTTTGCATTCACATGGCTCTGGGAGGGAACTGCAGGAGTAGTTTGGGAGTGTTCATTATCTAGCAGCTGAGGAGAACCACTTATGATTCCCTATCTGTGACACCTGTGCTCCATTCCTGAGAACCGTGTGGGTTGTCCCAAAATGCTCTTAGCAGAGGGACCCAGCATTCCTCTCTCCCCCAGGAATCCCTGTCAGGGATCTACAGCAGGAAAACTGGGATGTCCCTGGTCCAGAGAGCTGCCAGCTGGAGGCAGGATTATGGGTGGAAAATATCCTTCCTGCCCTGCTAAGTGGCAAGAAATCACCTCATTACAGCTTCTCTGACCTTAGCAAGCTCCTTAAACCCTTTGGCCCAGCTTTTAGTATTCTTTCTGGACACTCAGCCAAGATCACTCACCCTTAACTGTTGCCCTTTCTGTGAGGCCCAGGGTCCCCTCTTGGGAGGGTGCCCTACAGCAGCCTTCCAAGAACATCTCTATGAGCTCCAGAAAACGTGGTTCTTAGGGCCTTCTGGCCCAGGGTGAAACAGTCTTTGGATTTATTTTGGCCATTCTGACAGCTGTGGGTTGCAATGCCCCCATCTGGGCTTTAGTGAGGTACAGAGGGAGGAGGGGCCAGTATCACTGCAGAGTCTAACGGGGCTGCCATGGTTTTTTCACTCAGCAAGCTCTTGTCATCCGTGATTCAGAGAAGATAGTAATCCCTTCAGAGATGCTGGTGGTGGGGGACATCGTGGAGATTAAAGGAGGGGACCGGATTCCCGCAGACATCAGGGTGCTGTCTTCTCAGGGATGTAAGGTAAGTGACAGGGACCCACCCAGAGGACCATGCTCAGAGTGAACCAGCATTCTGTGTTCTGTTGCCTTTCCTGATCTTGGTAGACGAGGCAGAGAACAGGTGCCTAATTCTGAACTGTTTTCAAAACTTCTAGGTGGACAACTCCTCTCTCACTGGGGAATCTGAGCCCCAACCCCGCTCCCCTGAATTTACTCACGAAAACCCTCTGGAAACAAAGAACATTGCCTTTTATTCTACAACCTGTCTGGAAGGTAAGGCCAGCTGGCTCTCAGGGCCTCCTACTCCATCCAGATCACTTCTCCCTCCTCAGGCCTGATGTCTTGTCTCTTTGCTATCCTCTGCTACAAAACTTTTCCCAGAGAAAACCTGGAATTGAAGGGCGGACTGATGCCTGGCCTTTGTGATGTCACGCATTAATTGATCAAGGCTGCCAGAGAGGACTGTAAGCAGTCTGTGGCCTTCTCAGCTCCAAGAACCCCAGTATAAACTGTCTACTTCCCCTGTAGGCACGGCAACCGGCATGGTCATTAACACTGGCGACCGCACCATCATTGGACAGATTGCCTCCTTGGCAGCAAGAGTTGGGAATGAGAAGACGCCCATTGCCATTGAGATCGAGCACTTTGTTCACATTGTGGCAGGAGTGGCCGTCTCCGTCGGCTTCCTGTTCTTCATCATTGCAGTGTGCATGAAGTATTATATCCTGGATGCCGTCATCTTCCTCATTGGCATCATTGTGGCCAATGTGCCCGAGGGCCTTATTGCCGCTGTCACTGTGAGTCCCTGCCCTTAGGTAGCCTATGCCTTGGCACTGCTAGCACATGGTCACACACATACTGCAAGCTCCCCATCTTCAGAACAGCACAATCCCCCCACCATGGACAATCATGAATATTCTCAGATGGACAATAGGCATTATGATTTTTTTTTAATTTGTCAGAGGACACATGAGCTCACAAGAGAGAGACAGAGACACAAAAAGAGGGAGGGGGAAAGCACCATCTATAGGGAATAGTCATGCTTGCAATCTCTTCTCCATTTCTTCCTCCTTTTGAGATTTTGTGCATGCGTACACACTCTCCTGGCATAATTTTCAAGTTGTCAGGTCCAGGCCTTGAATTGCATGGTCAGCCATATGGGATCCAGCATCATTAACCATCAGGCCACAGGCTGGCTCAAGTGTTGTGATATTTTTAATATTTGAATGCATTGTCCTTGAAACTTTTTATGTTTTCAGGAGATCTATTTATAATTCACACATATTACTTTGTCCCCTAAGATCTAGATAAGACGGACTCAGACCATCATTTATAGATTTTTTGAGAAGCCTGATGCTTTTCTCACATTTCTTTAAAAAAAAAAAAAATGGGACCAGCAGTTGGCGTAATGGCTATGTTGCTGGACTCCCATGTAGTCAACTGTGGTTCGAGTCGTGGACCTGGTGGCTTAAACTCACGCCAGGCATGTGTGCGTGTGTGCCAAAGATCCTGAGAGGAGAATAGAGGAGAAGGGATTGTGGCATGGTCATCCCCCCTGGGAGGTGATTTCTTGCTTTCTGTCTCTATTTCTCTCTGTCTTTCTGGTGAAAGCACGTGCACTATAGCAAAAACCTCTCCAAAATAAATAAATAAATAAACAAACAACTTCCTTGACAATTTCTACAACTTAGAAACACAAATTTGCCTCTCTTCCCTCTATAATGGGAAGACAAAACAAAACAACTACAACAAACACCTCCAACTTTTTCCAACCCTGTCCTGCCCTACTCTCAGAGTCAGCTCTGGTTTTCCCTTTGTAAGTGCCTGTCTAATTTAGCTCTTATACTGTCTCTACTGTGAAGGCCCCATGGGATAGAAAGAAAGTGGGATTCATATGAGGGGATCTTCAAAATTCTCAAGGAAAATGCATATTATGAAAAAATTATATATGAATTTCAAAATTTATTTGCACCAAAATATACTTGCGTTTTAATTCTATTTTTACACAAACTTTTTGAAGTCCCCTCATATTTCCAGTTATGGAACTATTCATTATTATCAATGTGACCAAGACAAGAGGGGACATGTTTGAACTCCAGGTCTCTCTGACTCCGGGAAATGCTCATTTAAAGAAATTGGAGGCGAAAGAACTGTCTGAGATCTGGGTTTTAAAAGAATCTGTAAAATATGGAGCTATTAAAATGAAACACAAGTGCTTTTTGATTCCACATAGCAACAAGTGAGTCCTCTGGGAAGACCTCTTTGACATGCCTCATTCAGTATCTCCCTTAGGCATTTGTGCTTGTAAACAAGGTTGCTGGGGTCCAAGCTCCCATTCTAATGATACAGAGTCCCAGCCACAGCAATATCACCTGTCTTTGCCACCTGTGGGCTCCTAAGGATCATTGTCTTAAAGGAATGAAGGGACAGGGACAGTGTTCTATATTTAATTTAAAAAACAGAGAAGATTGGGGCTCATAGGGCTTTCAGTGGCACGTAGTTCACAAGATCAGCCTTGCTGCGTCAGCCCTATCGTTCTGTCATGAAACGAGTCCATTCTCTCCTAAAGTGCAAGTGCATCTGGCCTTAGCTGTTTCCATGTTCTATAACCTGGGTTCAAAGTTCCCTTCTCTTTTCCTTATTAGGTGACTCTGTCTTTGACAGCAAAACGGATGGCCAAGAAAAACTGTCTGGTGAAGAATCTGGAGGCTGTGGAGACCCTCGGCTCCACCTCCATTATCTGCTCAGACAAGACCGGAACCCTGACCCAGAACCGCATGACTGTGGCGCACCTATGGTTCGACAATCAGATCTTCATGGCTGACACTAGTGAAGATCATTCGAGTAAGCCTTTAGGAGCTGACAGTCTGCATACAGACTGTGTGGCAGCCCTGGACCTGAGCAGAAGGCTGAGCTGAAGGGTGACAGCACCGGGCTGTACTCTTGGAGAATCTGTGAACAATGCGACTCAGGTGTGGCAGGCCCGCGCCGCCATTCTCTCTCTGTTTTCCAGACCAAGTCTTTGACCAAAGTTCTGGTACCTGGGCTTCCTTATCCAAGATAATAACGTTGTGTAACCGAGCTGAGTTCAAGCCAGGCCAGGAAAGTGTCCCCATCATGAAGGTAAAGCTTCTGTGCTTGGTCTTAAATCACCACCGGTTTGAGGTTGCTTTCTCTGAGCATGATTTAATGTCTCCAATAGAGTGAAGTTTATACTAGTCTGACTCACAAGACATGTGGACAGTTTTCTTTGCTCTAATTTTGAGAACTCAACAAGATAATTAAAAAAGTTCAGAATATGAACTTAGGTCCTTTTGAAAATTGAGTCTTATTCTAGGAAATCAATGTGCCTTTAAAGTTACTTTCTTAACTTCTTTACCAGCCTATTGGATAGAACCAAAGGGTTTTTTTATGATATAAATGCTGTTCAGTGAAGTGTAAAGTGTAATTAGATGGAAGTTAAGGGGACTGAAATTGGCTCATCTTCTTAACTTGAATATGACAGCAGATAGAACCCTAAGGAGTTCTGAAATATTGGAATATATGATGGCTCTTCTTTCCCTCCTCTTTCCTTGTTGCGCCCTCTCCTTCTCTCTCCCTCTTCGGTCTCATTGCATCACTAAATCTGTATTCTCTTGGTCTTTTTACTCACCGTCTGTTTCTCTGGCTTTTTCCTTTTATATTTTTTACTTGTTTGCTTTTCTTTGCCCATCACACGGTTTCTCAGCGCTCTTTTTGGTCAATCACTTCTTCATCGGTATCTTTCAGATCTTTATATCTAGTTCTAATTTCTCACCCCAACTCCAACTTGGATCTCTGGCGAGCTGTGTTTCCAATGGGAAGTTTCACCATTTAGCCTCTCAACAAATTGTACTTGTCATCTTCCACTGTACCTACCCTGGCTTCAAATCAGTATTTTGTCCCAAATTTTCTATTTTTCTACTATGTAACCATTCAACTCGTCATTAGACCAAAATTTTAGGGTCATCTTTGACTTTCTCCTTCCCTTATATCTAGTGAATCACCAATGCCTTGTGCCACTAAAAAATGGCACATTTTTGGTTCAAGATAAAGTCATCTCTCTACAGAGACAGGTTCCAGGACTCCCCTTGCCTTAGCAAAGTCCACAGATGTTAAATAAATAATCCCTGATATTAAATAGAGTAGTATCTACATATAACCTGTGTAAATTCTTCCATATACTTTAAAACATCTCTAAATTACTTATAATACCCAATGCAAAGCAAATGCCATGTAAATTGTAATTCTAGTGTATTTTGGAAATAATGACAAGAAAGAAAAGTCTGTACTAGTTCATTACGGATGCAGCTAATCTTTTTAGAGTATGTTTGATTTGCAGATATGCAGGGCTGACTGCATACGTGATTTTATATTTTTTTTAAAGAATTATTTTATTTTTATTCATTGTCATGTTTTAATTTTTTAATTCTCTTAGAAGTTGACCAGACAGAGAGAGAAGAAAAGTGAAAAAGCAAACTGCCAGGTCCAGGACTCGCACCGCAGTCAGCCATGTGGGAGTCCAGCCGTCTTAACCACCATACCATCTGCCGGCCCCCATAATTTTATATTTCTGTTTTCACTAATACCTTGCATCTAAATAGCTGTGCCAACCTCATAATTGGCCCCTCTGATTCCAATTCGTCATACAGCATCAAAGTGACATGAGTAATTTTCACTAGTCTGATTCAGAATCCACCCTTTTTCTATTGAATGCCAGAGGCATACTGATTTAGTTCAGACCCTGTAAAAGCAAACTGCTTTTATCTTTATCCTAAGTTTGCTCAAAAACTTTCTATGTTTTCTACTTCATGAGTTTAGATCTCAATCTACAGGGCCTACGTTTCTTAGCTCACCTTCCATGTCCACCAAGACTTAAACCTCTTATGATGGAATGTTCTACTTCATGCCTCCCCTCATGCATTCTAGTTTGTTCAAGGCTTTCTTCTGCTCCTGTCTCTTGGGATCTAGTTCATGGTTGCTTCCCCCCACCCCAAACCCTCTAAACCTCCAGAGCTCCAATTTTTCTGAACTTCCCCAGTGCCATTAGGTGGCACCATTGTTTTATATTCTGACCATTGTCATGCATGTGTCACTGTCACATGATCCTTTTGTCTCTCCAGCTAATGGGAGACATGCTAGTTCAGGGCTGCAGGCAAGTTGGCAATCATGAAAGAACCAGATTATGTGCTACAAGTATTTGTTTATCTTTTTTGATTCCCAGAGAGTCGTGGTTGGAGATGCCTCAGAAACTGCTCTTTTGAAATTCTCAGAGGTCATTGTGGGTGATGTGATGGAAATTAGGAAAAAAAACCGCAAAGTAGCTGAAATCCCTTTTAACTCTGTCAACAAATTTCAGGTGAGTTTTCCTCATGACAAGAAGTCTGTGGTATCACTAGAATGACATTTTGCCTGCACATATCCTTTGGTTAACCCATATTTTGAGTAATATTTGACTTCAAAAATTGGAATACAGGACCTGAGCATCTGGTAAACCCAGGTCAAGGGTCCCTTATTGGCCTCCTTCCTTTCCTAGAAGTAGGAATGAGAAAAAAAAAAAAAAAGAAGAAGAAAGAAAAGAAAAGAAAAGCCAAGCTCATGTCAGGTCTGGCTTCTACTCTGAATGACCCATCTATATTACATGAACATATGTACACACGCACCACCACCATCATCACTGCTACCAGCAGGTCACTGGCACCAGTGAGGAGCGATGGCCCTATCTCCAAAAATAAATAAGAGGACGGTGAAATGGAGGGAACTAACATTTACTACACACCTAGGACGGTGAAATGGAGGGAACTAACATTTACTACACACCTAGGACGGTGAAATGGAGGGAACTAACATTTACTGCACACCTAGGACGGTGAAATGGAGGGAACTAACATTTACTACACACCTAGTTATATGAGGCACGCCATCTCCATTATCTTATTTCATCCTCACAATAAGCTTATGAAGTAGGGTTAATTAATTCCAATTAATAGATGAGGACATAGGTTTTCAGGAAGTATTGAAGAGACTAGAGTCATATAGCATCTAAGTGGCACACGTAATTTTCACCAGTCTGACTCAAAATCCACACTTTTTCTACAGCCGCCCAGAGGCAGACCAATTTAGTCCAGGCCCTGTGAGTCTGGCCCTTTGGCTTTCTGATTCCATCCCCTAGGCTGTTGGTAGGGATCTCCTTTCTACCCATTGCTCAGAAAGAAAATGACTGTTCTTGGCAAGTTGTCTCCCCTCATTCCAGATGTGGCCAACAATTAGGCACCTCTGTTCTCCTCACATTGAAACAAATGTCAGGAGTCCATTAGGTGGCATGATGGTTAAGGTGCTGGACTCCCGCATGGCCAACTATGGTTTGAGTCCTGGACAGGTGGCTTGAAAATCGGGCTGGCTATATTTGCATGTGTGCCCAAAATCTGAGAGGAGAATGGAAGAGAAGGGATTACAGCATGACCATCACCCCCAAAGGGGTGATTTCTTACTTTCCTTTTTTTTCCCTCTCTCTCCTGTGAGGGCACATGCCTAAGACAAAAACATATAACAAATAAACAAACAAATTAAAAATAAAACAAATAAACAAACAACAGTTTATAGCCTACTGTAGTTGGGAGTTGTCTAGAATCCTAACCTAAGGGCAGGAAATTATGCCTTGGGCTTTACATCAAAGTAAAGTATATAAATAGTATAATTATTTATACTATCTGTAAATTTCTGGTGATTATCCACCCATCTTTGGGTAGAATTCGATGTTGAAGAAAGGTTTGTGTTATGTACATCTTTTTTGTGTGTGTAGATAATGAGCCAATTAAGAATCGCAGTTACTGGGACCAGCAGTTGGCATAATGACTATGTCGATGGACTCCCAATAGTTCGAGTCCTGGACCTAGTGGCTTAAACTCATGCCGGGTGTGTGTGCCTGCGTGCCCAAGATCCCAAGAGGAGAGTGGAGGAGAAGGGATTGTGGCGTGCCCTATAGCAAAAGCCTCTCAAAAAAAAAAAAAAAAAAAAAATCATGGGACCAGCAGATGGCTTAAAGTTTACATTGCTGGACTCCCACATGGTCGACTACCGTTTGAGTCTAGGACCCAGTAGTTTAAAACTCACACCAGGTGTATGTGCGTGTATACCTAAAGTCTAAACAGGAGAATGGAGAAGAAGGGGTTGCAGTGTGACCATCTCCCCTCGGGGGTGATTTCTTGCTTTCTGTCTCTCTGGCAAGTACATGTGCCCTAAAGAACTAACATTTACTGCACACCTAGGACGGTGAAATGGAGGGAACTAACATTTACTACACACCTAGTTATATGAGGCACGCCATCTCCATTATCTTATTTCATCCTCACAATAAGCTTATGAAGTAGGGTTAATTAATTCCAATTAATAGATGAGGACATAGGTTTTCAGGAAGTATTGAAGAGACTAGAGTCATATAGCATCTAAGTGGCACACGTAATTTTCACCAGTCTGACTCAAAATCCACACTTTTTCTACAGCCGCCCAGAGGCAGACCAATTTAGTCCAGGCCCTGTGAGTCTGGCCCTTTGGCTTTCTGATTCCATCCCCTAGGCTGTTGGTAGGGATCTCCTTTCTACCCATTGCTCAGAAAGAAAATGACTGTTCTTGGCAAGTTGTCTCCCCTCATTCCAGATGTGGCCAACAATTAGGCACCTCTGTTCTCCTCACATTGAAACAAATGTCAGGAGTCCATTAGGTGGCATGATGGTTAAGGTGCTGGACTCCCGCATGGCCAACTATGGTTTGAGTCCTGGACAGGTGGCTTGAAAATCGGGCTGGCTATATTTGCATGTGTGCCCAAAATCTGAGAGGAGAATGGAAGAGAAGGGATTACAGCATGACCATCACCCCCAAAGGGGTGATTTCTTACTTTCCTTTTTTTTCCCTCTCTCTCCTGTGAGGGCACATGCCTAAGACAAAAACATATAACAAATAAACAAACAAATTAAAAATAAAACAAATAAACAAACAACAGTTTATAGCCTACTGTAGTTGGGAGTTGTCTAGAATCCTAACCTAAGGGCAGGAAATTATGCCTTGGGCTTTACATCAAAGTAAAGTATATAAATAGTATAATTATTTATACTATCTGTAAATTTCTGGTGATTATCCACCCATCTTTGGGTAGAATTCGATGTTGAAGAAAGGTTTGTGTTATGTACATCTTTTTTGTGTGTGTAGATAATGAGCCAATTAAGAATCGCAGTTACTGGGACCAGCAGTTGGCATAATGACTATGTCGATGGACTCCCAATAGTTCGAGTCCTGGACCTAGTGGCTTAAACTCATGCCGGGTGTGTGTGCCTGCGTGCCCAAGATCCCAAGAGGAGAGTGGAGGAGAAGGGATTGTGGCGTGCCCTATAGCAAAAGCCTCTCAAAAAAAAAAAAAAAAAAAAAAAAAAAAAAAAAAAAGCATTGCAGTTACTAAATAGATTACTAACAAAAATCTGTGATATAAAATATTGAAACCAGAAAATCATGGGACCAGCAGATGGCTTAAAGTTTACATTGCTGGACTCCCACATGGTCGACTACCGTTTGAGTCTAGGACCCAGTAGTTTAAAACTCACACCAGGTGTATGTGCGTGTATACCTAAAGTCTAAACAGGAGAATGGAGAAGAAGGGGTTGCAGTGTGACCATCTCCCCTCGGGGGTGATTTCTTGCTTTCTGTCTCTCTGGCAAGTACATGTGCCCTAAAGCAAAAATCTCTCAAAAAAAAAAAAAAAAAAAAAACCCAGGAAATCAGATATCTTATTCAAAACAATAAAACAATGAATAGCAATCCTAAAGTAGCAATAGTAATTTTAGTTATTCTATGCTAATTTCCACATGTATGAAATCATTTTTTAAAGAATTATTTTATTGAACTTTACTTATTTATCTATTTATTTTAATTTGACCAGAGAAGGACAGAGCAAGAGAGAGAGAGGGAAAGTGAGAAAGCAAGTCACCAGGTCCAGGATTCTAACTGCAGTCAGTCACGTGGGAGTCCAGCGCCTTTAACCACCGTGCTACCTGTTGGCCCCCTAAGTCAGTTATTCTTACAGTGATTCTATGAGGTAAGCAGAAGACGAGGAAATTTTTTTTTTTTGAGAGGTTTTTGCTATAGGGTGCATGCTCTCGCTAGACAGACAGAGAGAGACATAGAGACAGAAAGCGAGAAATCATCCCCCAGGGGAGATGGCCACGTCACAATCCCTTCTTCTCCATTCTCCTCTCAGGATCTTGGGCACGCACGCATATGCACCCAGCGTGAGTTTTAAACCACCGGGTCTGGGACTCGAACCACGGTCGACTACGTGAGTCCAGTGACAGAGCCATTATGCTAACTGCTGGTCCCCAAGATGAGGAAATTAAGGTACAAAGCATTGTTATAATTAGTAAGGGCTAGAGTTCAGATTCAGACAAAGCCATGTATTCCACATTTGTAAAAACCAGGTTCAATGGTCTTCCATTAGGAAAGAAACTTAGAATCCTGCCAAGATTCCATCTACCACAGTAAAGGCTTTCCTGTCACATGAGAAATGAGAAAAAGTCGGTTGTCTCTCTTTTTTCTTTTTTTTTTGGAGAGGTTTTTGCTATAGGTCTCGTGCGCTCGCCAGACAGACAGAGAGAGACATAGAGACAGAAAGCGAGAAATCACCCCCCAGGGGGGATGGTCACGCCGCAATCCCTTCTCCTCCATTCTCCTCTCGGGATCTTGGGCACGCACGCACACGCACCCGGCGTGAGTTCTAAGCCACCGGGTCCGGGATGCGAACTGCAGTCGACTACGTGGGAATCCAGTGACATAGCCATTACACTAACTGCAGGTTCCCCCGGTTGTCTCATAGACAATAAGTTGTGAGGGAAAGTGGACTACACAGAATTGGGACTACAAAGAGAGAGAAAGCCTGGGTGAGTTACCATGGAAGAGGCCAGAGATGTTCTTTGAACACTTTTAGGGCCATTTTCTATCTATAGATAAGCAATACTCATTCCAAAACAGAGCTTTAGATGCCATGGCCTTGGAAAGCACCTGGTGACTCACTCAACAGAGGACAAGAAAGTGGAAAGTTCACATCTTACTGATCTTAGAATAGGGATGCCCAAAAAGACTAGAAATAATTTATGGCAAATTGGAAAATTAATGACAGTATTTTATAAAGTTTTATGCAAAGAGGGACCAGCACTTAGCGTAATGGCTATGTCGCTGGACTCCCATGTAGTCGACCACGGTTCAAGTCCTGGACCCGGTGGCTTGAAACTCACGCCGGGCGCGTGTGCGCACGTGCCCAAGATCCCGAGAGGAGAATGGAGGAGAAGGGATTGCGGCGTGGCCATGCCCCCTTGGGGGTGATTTCTCACTTTCTATCTCTCTGTCTCTCTCTGTCTGTCTGGCAAGCGTACACGCCCTATAGCAAAAAAACTTCTCAAAAAAAAAAGTTATATGCAAAGATAAGTATATTTAATTTAACATTTTTTTTATTTTTGGTTTGTGGCTAGAGGGTACGTGCACTTATCAAAGACAGACAGGGAAGGATAGAAAGGAGAAAGCACCCTCCGTGGAGGATGGTCACACCACAGTTCCTTTATCTCCATCTCTCCCTCCTTTTGTGATTTTGGGCATGCACACACGTCCAGCATGTTTCTCAAGCTGCCAGACCCAGGACTTGAGCTTCATGGTTGGCCTTGCAGCATCTAGCTTCCTTAACTACCAGGCCACATGGCTGGTAGCTTCTATGATTAAGGGAAGGATTCTGGAGCTTAGCTTCTAGGTCAGCCACCTCTAAGACTGTGACCATGAGCAAGTATTTCACGTCTCACTTCCGACTCCTCCTTTTCAAAGGTGATAGTAGTAGTGCCCACGGCCTCGTGATTAATTTGAGGATCAAATGAGTCAAAGTGTACAGCCCTTAGAATAGTACCTGACCTAAGGTACATATCATACATTTGTTTGTTACTGTTACTTTTTTTTAATGTATTTCTTCCATGAATGAGAGATATGCATCCCAACAGGGTGTCTGTGCCATGACCCACTTCTGGTCTCAGCTGGCCCAGGTCACGGGCATGTGCACACACCCAGAATGCTACCCGAGAGCCTGGGACACAAACCTACAAACTTCCCATGTGGGTCCAGTTGTATTATCTCTAGCACTCACTGTTCCTACTTTTTTGGGGAGGGAGGAGGGTTTACCATAAAGCATATGTGCTTGCCCCAGAGATAGACAGAGAGAGGGAAAGTGAGAACTCACCCCTGGGGTGGGGGGTGGCCAAGCTGCAATCCTTTCTCCTTCATTCTCCTCCTGGGATTTTGGACACACAAACACACACACACACACACACACACACACGCACACACACACACAGCATGATTTTCAAGCCACCAGGTTCAGGACTCAAAATAAGGTCGGCCATGTGTGAGTCCAGAGTGTTCACCATGCCACCTGCTGGCTCCACTATTTCTACCTTTGAAATGTGAAAGTGTTCTACTTTTTAGAAAATGATGGTGATAATAGATGATGTGTGTTTTTTGCTGTTGCTTTATTTATTTATTTTTAACCTGGTTTAGTTTTGTCTGGGTTTGAGTTGGCTAGTTGGTTTTTAATGCCTTTACTTAAAAAGAAGCTGGCTGGGATCAGCAGATGGCATAATGGCTACATGGTTGGGCTCCCATGTAGTCAACCATGTTGAGTTCTGGATCCAGTGGCTTAAACTCATGCTGGGTGCATGTGTGTGATGTGCCCAAGATCCCGAGAGGAGAATGGAAGAGAAGGGATTACAGCCTGGCCATCCCCCTGGGGGGGGGAGGTGATTTCTCGCTTTCTGTCTCTCCGTCTTTCTGGCTAGCACACGTGGCCTATAACAAAAACCCCTCCAAAAAATAAAAAGAAGAAGGAGCTGGCGGGCCAGCATGTGATGTGCCTAGGGCACTGGACTCCCACACGACTGACTATGGTTTCAGTTCCAGACCTGGCAGCTTACTTTCTCACTTTCCCTCTTACTCTGTTTCTCTGGTGAGTGCTTGCACTCTATAGCAAATTTTGAAAATAATAATAAGTTAAATCATTCGTAAAAAGGAAAAAGAAGCTGGCAACCTGTCTTATCAACTAGTATTTATTTTTTCACTCTTTTAGGTAGTACTCATCTTTGATATCCAAAAGTCTAAGAACTACTGATTTGGAATCAACTCATAGATCAAAAATGACAGCATTTTTCTTTGTAATTTATTTTCCCCCCAAACAGTCCAGCATCTGGAAATTCTTTTTGAGTGCTTAGAACATAGCTGGTAAGGACTATGTAAGATTTAGCCATTGTATTATTGGACTTAAAAAGTTTTGGGGGGGGGGAATGGAATTAAAGTACAACTTTATTCCAATGCAAAAATTTTTGACATCGATGCATAGTTTTTTCATAATAGGCCTTTTCCATGAACTTTCTGAGGAGACCTAATACAGGAATGTTTTCCACATTTTTTTTTCTGATAATCTTATTAGGATGGATCTAGAGATATAATTGCTAGAGTGTGGATATTAACACTGCACCCCCTATTTCCTAGCCATCTTGTCGAAAGGCTGTACTGAGGAAGTATCTACTTCACACCTCTGCCATTTTCTTTGATGTCCGGGGCCAATACTGGGTCAATACGGAAATGAAGAGGCACAAGAATTTCAGCTGCTCTCGTGCCTGCCTGAACTCAGAATAGCTTGGGTCTGAAAGACTCCTGGTCACCACAGGGCTGTAGAGGAGTTTTTCAGCCCCATCACTCTCATGGGATCCCAGGAGATCCTGTTCAACACACGAGATTTCACGGGCTGACAGCCACATCTGACCTGCATAAAGCAGCCAGTTTCTTTCAAAAGATGAGCTCTACTTAGTATGTATTCCAACTCAGGGTGCCTCTCTGGACTGGAGCCTAGAGCTTGATCTGTGGATATGAGAGACTATAGAAAGTCCATGTAGAGTGTGATCATGGGAAAAAATTATGCATGGATTTTTAATTTTTTTTTTTTTGCACCATAATAAGCTCATACTTTAATCCCATTTTCCACAAACTTTTGAAGTCCCCTCAGTATGCATTATGGGAGTCTAGAATAAGAAATCAACAAATAACAAGATACAGAGCTATTAGAAAAGATAATGGCCAGGGACTGGCAGGTGACGTGGTGGATAAGGGTGCTAGATTCCCACATGCCCACATGGCCGACCACAGTTCGAGTCCCAGACCCGGTGGCTTCCTCTCTCACTTTCCCTTTCTCTCTCTCTCTCTTTCTGGTAAAATAAATAATAATAATAACAATAACAAATGGAATTAAATAAATAAATAATTCTTTAAAAAATTATAAAGGAAAAAATAATGACCAGAAAAATAAGGATGGACCATGCCTAGGCATATCATTGTTCCTCTTCCTCTTTTACATTTCAGTGACAAGTAGGAATGTTTTTCACCTTCTTGTCCTGCTGCTAATTGGAAGATCTGTGATAAAGGTAGCATCATTATTCGATAGTAAGCTGTGTCTAACATGCTTCATTTGTTCCCTCCCAGCTCTCCATACATGAGACGGATGACCCCAATGACAAACGCTTCCTCTTGGTGATGAAGGGGGCCCCCGAGCGGATCTTAGAGAAATGCAGCACCGTCATGATCCATGGCAAGGAGCAGCCACTGGACAAGAGCACAGCAGAGGGCTTCCACACAGCCTACTTGGAGCTGGGCGGACTGGGCGAGCGGGTACTAGGTGAGCTCGGGCTGTAGAACCCTTGTCCATCACCCATAGACACAGCAGATGAGGCGGGTGTCTTGAGAAACTAAGGACCTAGAAGAGTAGTGTAGTATCCTCAAAGATCATCTTAAGAATATGGTAAACAGGATGGTAACATATATAAGGGGTCTTCAAAAGTTCACGTAAAATGTATAGTCCAAAAAAAATTAAACTATCTGTGGATTTAAAAAATACTTTGCACCAAAATAAACTCCAAAAAGTTTCATTTTTCCACAGATTTTTTGAAGTACTTTTGTAAGAGGATGCTATATGACCACACCAAAAAGGACAGGGTCATTTCCAGATAAGCAAAATCTGGGAAAACTGTGGAAGTAGTTATATTTTATTTCTAAAGTTTATTTATTTATTTATTCAACCAATAAGAGAACAGAGAGAGATAGAAAGACAAAGAGAGACAGCATACCAGCAGGGTCTTGATGCCACAATTCACCCACCCACCCCACCCGCCAGTTCATGGGCATGCACCTACACAGTATACTCAGGGAGGTCTCTGGACATGAACCTGGAACCTTCTCATGTGGATCAGCCTCCCAGAGTATCATGTTTTACTGCTGTGTTAACATCTGGCCCCCAGGAGTTGCGTTTTAAACTGGGCCTTGAATAGCAGAATTTGAAGGGAGGTGGAGGAAAGTGGCCACAATAGAGGGAACCTTAGAGGTAGAAATGGATGGAGCATGTGCATGCATGGTGGAGCAAGCCAGTCTGTGTTGAATGTTGCAGGAAGAAGAGATGGCACAATTGGGGGGAAAGGGACCAGAAAGATAGCTTGAAGGTTGTGACATGTAGGCCTTGAATACATGGGTGAGGAATTGGAGTTTCACGCTGCTGTCAGTGGAGAACACTAGGAGCTTTGCAGCAAGGATGAGCCTGTCAGAGTTACAGTGTTGGTTAAAGAGAATCTTTGGCAAATGGAGGAGAGCAGAGATATTGGTCTCAGTAGGAGACAGCTGCCCTCACTCAGGTGTAAGGAGCTAGAATTTGATCCAAGGCAATAGAAATGTAAAGGCAGGGTCAGGTGTAAGAGACTTCATGGAGGCAGAATTGATCATTCTTGGGAGGAGGAGAGTAGTAAATTTGAAAAGTGATAAAACTTCCTATTTAGTGACTAGGCAAAAATAATGCTAATAACTGAGACAGGGGATATTAGAGGGGAAAGTGTTGAAGTAATACCACTTGAGGAATCTCGTTGTGGTGACCGAAGTGGTGCCGGGGGTATGGTGTGTTTGTTGACAGAATCATGGTTGACAAGTAGCAGCTGGTCAGAACTACAGAACGATGAATTCAAGGAAATAGAAGTTAGTGGTTGATGATAAGGCTCATTAAGCACCCTGAAAGTTCTTGCCAATGGAGATGGAATCTGTGGAATGTGTGTTGCTAAGGATATTTGAGTTTGTAGAGCAGATAAAATACAAATGCTTCAAATAACCCACAGCACCAGGTATCTCCCTTTCATCATGGATTGATGCCCATCTGACGAGAGTTGCCCTAGGAACCTTGCCTCTGACCTCTCAAGGTCTGCCTTACTGAAGGATGGGATGCAGTGAGCCAGGCTGAGAGAAGAGCTGAAGGGAAAACCTATGAAAGGGTTCCACAGTCTTGGCGGTCCCATCAGACATGGGATCCCTCTATCAAGCCGTGAGAGGCTGAGCCTTCTGAGAAGAGGATGGCTCTCCCCCATTCCTAATGGCTTTTCTCTTACATTTATCTTTTTTATTCTAAATTTATTTATTTATCCCATGGGAGAGAGAGACAGAGACAGAAAAACAAACACCTGGAACAGGATCCTCATGTCCCAATCCATCTCCAGTCTCAGCCAATCCAGATTATGGACACACACACACACACACATACACCCGGTGTGATAGGAAGGGCCCAGAATTGGAACCTAGAGCCTTCCAATGTGGAGTCATCCTTGCAGTGTTATATTACCACTGCACCACCATCTGGCCCATCTTACACTTACCTTGACTAAGGAATGAACTTGTTCCACTTCCCTGAGGCTGCACATTTCTTCCCCAACCTGTCCAGTAGCAACCTGTTTTCTCTTCCTGAAATGGCACTCCTCCTGCCAACCCTCCTTTCTTTCCCTGGAAAACATCTGCACCTCTCTCAAAAGTCAGGTCACATGTAACCTTCTTGGTAAAATCTCTCTTGACTCTCCAGGTAGCTGAGTGTAGCTCTACTCTGCAATCTGTACCATGTTTTATTAGACTTTCTCTCCCCACCCCAACTTTCCAAACTGGGACAACTTCAGAAGACAAGGAGGCCCACTCTGGTCTTTATATCTCTAGAACATGGACACTAGTGAACACATAGTAAATTATTTTTAGATGAAATAAGAGGTTACTTCAAAATATCTGTGGAAAAATGCAATTAAAGTATGAATTTATTTTGATGCAAAAGCTTGAAATCCATGCTTGGGTGTTTCATAATGTGTATTTTCCATAAACTTTTTGAAGACCCTCATATGTCTTTCCTAAAAAAAAAAAAAAAGTTGGGACCAGTAGTTGGTGTAATGGCTATGTCACTGGACTCCCATGTAGTCAACCATATTCAAGTCCTGGATCCAGTGGCTTAAAATCACGCCAGGCACATGTGTGTGTGTGCCCAAGATCCTGAGAGGAGAATGGAGGAGAAGAGATTGTGGCATGGCCATCCCCCTGGGGGGGTGATTTCTCACTTTCTGTCTCTCTGTCTCTTTTTGTCTTTCTGGTGAGCACATGTACCCTATAGCAAAAACCTCTCCAAAATAAATAAATGCATGAAGAATCAAAGGAATTAAACAATTCTGATACATTCTACTATATTGGTAAAATAGTAAAGAACTGAGTATATCAACATGCTCCTCCTTTATTGCTTTGTCATTTCTTATCCTAATAGTTTCATTGACTGCCAAATTCATGCCCATTTCAGGTTTCTGTCATCTCTACCTGCCAGCAGACAAGTTTCCAGAAAACTACTCATTTGATGTAGACAACATCAACTTCCCCACATCTGACCTCTGTTTCGTGGGGCTCTTGTCAATGATTGATCCCCCTCGATCCACTGTGCCAGATGCAGTCACCAAATGCCGGAGTGCGGGAATCAAGGTGGGAATAGTTTTCCTGACTCCAGAATCTTCCATTATGTTGTATGTCTTTATAAGAATGTTTATTGTAGGAGATGGTCAGTATTTAGGTCTCTTCAAGTAATTGCTATTTACTTGAATGCTATTTTTAATTTTTTTAAAGTTTACTTATTTATTTCTTCCATGAGAGAAGGAGAGAGACTAGCCCCCAAAAGATCCACACACCGTGATCCACCCCCAGTCTCAGCCAGCCCAGGTCAGCATCTGCACATATGCACAGTGTTCAGGGGGGGGTCCCAGAATGCAAATCATGACTCCTCCCACATGGGTTCAGGTGCTCTACTGCTATACCACTGCCTGGCTTCTTCTTTTAAAAAAATCTCTTCCCTCAGTATGCTAAATCCTAAGATTTCAGTTACTATCCCATGAATGCAAAATAATCATGAGTATCTGGAATATACCACAACAGAAAGTCCAGTGAGAAGACTGTCTCAGTGCTACGAGGTAACCATATCTTGCTTTACTCCATGATATGTAATTAGAGATTGTATTACTTAATCTTGAGATTCAGCCTCCATAACCCACTTTTCTTCATGACATTGAAGCCAAAGTATGAATTCCCTTGCTGTATTAGTATCAAGACTGTTGAAGCAATAGAGGGCTGCTTCAAGCCAATACCCACCTGTCCTTTCACAAATAAAGTGGCATCTGAGGAGAAAGACTTCCTCTGATGTCAGAAAAGGTAATGGAAGATCCTTTATCAGGATCAAGGATAAACCTAACAAGATTAGTGTCCTTTAAAAATAATCGTGTTTTGGGGCCAGCAGTTGGCATAATGGCTATGTCGCTGGACTCTTATGTAGTCAACTGTGGTTCGAGTCCCAGACCCAATGACTTAAACTCAGGCAGGGCGCATGTGCGTGCGTGCCCAAGATCCCAAGAGGAAAATGGAGGAGAAGGAATTGTGGCGTGGCCATCACACCTGGGGGGTGATTTCCCGCTTTCTGTCTCTCTGTCTCTCTTTGTCTTTCTTGGCAAGCACACGTGCTCTATAGCAAAAATCTCTCCCCCCCAAAAAATAAATAAATAATTGTGTCTTAGATCTAAAACTTCCCTTAGGGTCACCCACAGTAATCAGATGGTGATCTTCTGCCAGCTCATGGTAGAGTAGGAGACACTGAACTGTCCCTGCTGTGGCCAGCCACGTTTCTCATTGTCTATGGGCCCTTCTCTTCCTCCATGCTCCAGGTTATTATGGTTACAGGTGATCATCCCATCACAGCCAAAGCTATTGCCAAGAGTGTCGGGATCATTTCAGCCAACAGTGAGACAGTGGAAGACATTGCAAGACGCCTCAACATTGCTGTGGAGCAAGTCAACAAAGAGTAAGCACAGAACCAACATAGCAGAAACTAAAATTCTTACTTACCCATGGGTCCCTGTCGGCTCTGAAGAGCTGTGCTGTGTGGAGTAAATCACCCTTTCACCAAGCCCTGTCAGGATAATGCTAAACTGGCTTGTTCTATAATTCACATATGCATTCATTCACTCAAAATTTTATTGAGCATATAATATATGCCAAGCACTATATTGATGCCATGCAAATTGGTTTATGTATCCCTTGTCTGAAATTCCTTTCTTTCTTTCTTTCTTTCTTTCTTTCTTTCTTTCTTTCTTTCTTTCTTTCTTTCTTTCTTTTTTTCTTTCTTTCTTTCTTTCTTTCTTTCTTTCTTTCTTTCTTTCTTTCTTTCTTTCTTTCTTTCTTTCTTTCTTTTTTGGAGAGGTTTTTGCTATAGGATGTGTGTGCTTACCAGAAAAGACAGAGAGAGACGGAGAGACAGAAAGCAAGAAATCACCCCCTGGGGGAGGCGGCCACACAGCAATCCTTTCTCCTCCATTCTCCTCTTAGGATCTTGGACACACACGCACATGCGCCCAGCGTGAGTTTAAGCCACCAGGTCCAGGACTTGAACCATGGTCGAATACATGGGAGTTCAGCAACATAGCCATTACACCAACAGCAGGTCTCCCTTGTGTGAAATTTCAAAATTCAGTGATATAGATCTGAAAACTTAAGTGCCTAATATAGAGTGAACAAAAACTGAAACAAAGGATTTATGTGACATGACTTACCACTACAGCAATTGTATAATTTGGGAATATCAAGAACCCTTTGGATTTCATATACTCCCCTAGTGAGCATCTTTAGTATTTACTGATAGAGTTAGCTTTATAGTGTGTAGCCATGTGAACATACTTTTTGAAAATTTTGGTTGTAAACAGATGCAAGCTTCCTAAGGAAAGCTCTTTCCTTGTTTCCTTAATTCTTTTAAGCTATCTTTTAATCCATTTCTCCATTTATAAGTTTATTAATTCTTTCAATAATTGTTGAGTGCCAGCTATCAGGGGACTTCAAAAAGTTTGTTTAAAAATAAATGAAAGTTCAAGTTTATTTTGGTGCAAAAATTTTCAAAACCCATGTATAGTTTTTTCCATAATGTTTTTCACAAACCTTTTGAAGACCTTTTGTATCCCAGGCACTGTTATAGACAATGGAGCTACTGGAGCAAGCAAGAACAAATACCATCCCCACCCTTTAGGGACTTTCTACCCAGCATAGGAAACAGAAAAACAAAGGAATTGCGATATGGTCAATATAATGAAGGTGACACACACAGATGAAGGGGCTGGGTGTGGAGAGTGGCCTGGACTGGGGGTGGTTTAAATGAGTCAAAGTCTTCAGTCTCAGGTTGAAAAGAAACATCATCAACTGCATTATATTTTCATGAATGTGGGGAGAACAGGGAAAGACTAACAGTCTTTTAGTTTACTCAAGCATTTGTGCCTCTCAGAAATACAGAGCTGTCAGGTAATAAATTATGAACAGGTGAGAAATTACCAGATAGTACAACCAACCAGAACACCTGCCTCTGGGCACTACAACAGTACTTGAAGCTTCCAGGAATCCTGTGTGTAGTGACAAGTTGGGGCATGCTGGTTTGGTTTTTAAGTAGTAGGACTACGCATTTCATACCGTCACCACACTGAGGAGGAGAGTGAAGTGAATATGTCTATAAACGTTTTTGGTTATCCACTTCATCAGCTCCAGCCTCACGCCCATATCATTGCATTTTAGCAGCTGTAAGAGAAAAGGAAACACCCTTTCCTTCTCACCTTTGATACTTTTTAGTCACAGTTTAGGAAGACCTTTATTTTAGGAAGACTTGACTCATGTGAGTCAAATACTGGCATTCCAATACTGACAACCAACAGGGGCCCAGCCTGGTGGTACAATCAATTTCATAATGAACTGCAGTGCTAGAAGCCACACAGCCAACTGTGGGTTCAAATTCCAAGTCCACCTGAAAATATGCTGGGTATGTACTGTGTGCCCAGGATTCGGATAAGCTCAAGGGCTGGA